GCTATTTTGCTCGGTTAAAGGAACTATTTCTGCTTTTTTCTGGGTATACTTAGAGTTATCAATGCCTATTTTTCCATAAATCATTCCCTGTTTCTATATGTTTGGAAGTCTTGATAACTTTAATTTACATGAAAAAGAAACAAAATAATAAGCCTTCAAAATCACTTTGATACCATGATCATCAATGGTAGAATTTAGTATCACTACTCTGAAGAGTAACTAATGAGATCGCAAGCATCTAACGACAAATGATGTCAAAATCTTGTTTCTATAAGGGTTTGGATCAATTTCATGGTGATACTCTGCTAGTTGGTCTATATTGTCCAATAATTGTTTTAGTGCAGCTTCATTTCGCGCAGAGTTACCTACTTGAAAGAACAAATAGGTATCCCTCTGTTTCTAATTTCTACAATTGGGTTTTTTAGATTACTGTGTCACATTAAATGAGACGGTATTAATTATATTATGATATTCCATACAGAAGCATGTTCCCTTTGAAGTCATTTAGGGATTAGCAATTAAGTTTAGCAATTATCAACATATTCTCTAAAACCGCAGAATTCTTCTCTACAAATGGTCATTACATATTCTTATTTGTTGATGTTCTTGAGATATTAGTGAATAAGATAATAAGTAAAGCGCTAACTAATTTTGCGAATTTATTAATACTTAAAATTAAAGACACTCCGAGTTAATTAAAAACATGGCAAAAATTACAGCGCTTTTAATGAATTCTCTATTATTAGATCGTGAATGCTTTTATAACTTTGCGAGTGTATCAGTGTCCTATAAAAATACGAGAAAGATGAATATAAGCCGCCACTTCAGTTAATTTAATTTAATTTAATTTAGCAACATTACAATAAAAAAAAATCATTTATTATGAATTTAGTAATTAAAGCGTTGTCATTTTATATTCAAGATTTTCCTCCAATGACTTTGATTCATGACTTAAAATCGATTATATTAACAAATATCGTTTATTTTGAGATTATTAGGAAACAAATATCGTTCATTTTGACTTTAGATTTGATTTATACCCAGAAAGTATTTAAATGTGTTTCAAAAAAGTCAAGTATTACTTTTAAAAGTTTAAAACTTAAAAGAAACCCCTGCTCAACTAAATAACATCAAAGCACCCGTAGAGTATTTCCCTCAAATAACCCAACCACCATCAACAAACCGTACACATCGTTACTTATTCAAACAAGTCCTCTTCCACCAACCGTTTCGAACCCCGTTTCTGTACGAATCCAGTTCCCACATGATTTCCCGTAACGTTTAAGCCAACTATATACAGTTTGTCTCTGCATACTTTAATGTCAGTTTATTAGGTTCAGCTATAATTAACAAACTGCATATAACAAATAACACCAACTTTCCTACACCTAAAGCTTATTCTCTGGTCGCGGTATTTTTTAGAGTGTGTATATGAAACCGGTCCAAACTGGTCTGTAAATTTTGTTTGAAGTGTTAATTGTGATTAATGAAACGTCAACATCGCCCTTGTGGGAAAAGAGCACGTGTTGCGACTTGTGTGTATGTCCGTTGCAGACAATGTTTCCTTTTCGGAGAGACGGCGAAGGCGGTTCTGTTGGTGCTTGCTCAAACTTGCGTAAATAACACGGATCGCGTTTCTCTCTACGTTCGAAATTTCTATATAGGAAATTTTTGGGGATTACGAGGTGTACGAGGAAACGGAGACGTTTTATGTATGACAATGATCGTCGAAGCCACTAGACTGTATTCGCTCGATAGGACAACAGGTTCGAACTTGAAGAGGAAAGAAAATGGAAGATGACGACGACGAGAAAGTGAGAAGGATGGTATCGACTATCGACTTACGAGGAACGTATTTATATTCATAGATGTCGCCTAGATTGTTTACACCGATTAAACTGACGCCCCAACCCTTCTTTTACTAAAAGAGCTTTTGTGAGCTTTAACAGATGTATATCCTAACAAAGGTATTAAATATCCAAAAAGGATATTGGGATACGTATTTTCAAGCGTATTTATTTATGTAAGGTTGAATAAATTTCAATTCACAATTAGTTAACCTTTGTGTATTGTGATGTTTAAAATTGACTTATATCTTAAACTAATTTAAATGATTTACAATTTTTTATTCGATTTTTAGTTTATACAATACTTTTTTTATTATTATATTTGGCATAGCACAATTGTACAACTCCTAGTAAATACTAATTAGTTACTTACTTATTTTTGACATAAAATTAAACAAGATAATGTTTTGAAGTGGTCCAGTTTGCTTTACACATAATATAGATTGCTTTGCAATCTTTGAATCAGACGTATATCCATTTTAGTTTTAATAGTTTCTTGTATGTTAGCAACTTGCTTCTTACTCATAACGTTGATTTTCTGCCAATAAGCCAATATAGGTGTCTAAATTTGATATCAAGTTCCTCACATTTTTCTCTTTGGCGTGAACTTTCCATTTGAGTTTGGCATCCAGCGTCATACCAAGATATCTTGCGGTGTCGGCGTAAGGGACTGCATTGCCATTTATCTGTACAGGGACATACTTTACTTTCTTATAAGTAAAGTTTATGTATGTCGATTTATTTGTATTTAATTTTATTAGCCATCGGTTGGTCCAGTTTTCTATTGAATTTAAGGCCAATTGTAACTTATTTGCTGCAACAGCCAAGATTGCTCTGTCATCTGCGAATGTAGCTGTTAAAGTTTCTGGTATCTGAGGTCGAAAGTGTAGAATAAGTACAGAGTTGGGCCAAGCTCACTTTCTTGAGGAACTCCGGCTTGTATTTCATGTAGTGGTGAATAAGCGTTTTCGTATTTTACTCTAAAATGTCGATCAGAAAGATAAGATTTTAATAGTTGACTATAAATTGATGGTAGTATTTGATCTAGTTTGTAATTTAAACCATCTAACCAGACTTTGTCGAAAGCTTGTGCAACATTCAAAAATACGGCGAATTTACGATAGTATTCGTTATTCTATGCATTTGGTCTGTTGTTGCATATTTATTCCGAAACACAAATTGATGTGTTGGTTTTAGGGCTTTTTCTTCTATGACAGGTTTTAGTCTTTTTAATAGTAATTTTTCAAGTAGTTTTGATAGTAAGGGATAATGAGGGTTTTACCAGGTTTTGGTATCATTATTATTTCAGCAACTTTCCATATACTTGGGAAGTATTCCTCATTAAAAGCAGCATTAATTATGTGTAATAGTTTTGAAATCGCCCGTTTTGTAGATGTTTCAATATTTCTCCATTAATTAGGTCATATCAATACAGTTCTTTCATTCTTATACATGGTATATTGCTCTGCTGATTACTTTGAATTGTGTTAGGAACACTGTTTAACATAATTGTTGGACTGTCTGATGTAAAAGTTTCTTTCAGATGTTCAGCAAACAAATTATCTTTTTCTTGATTGCTCTTAGCCCAATTTCCATCACTATTTCGTATTGGAGGTGTATGCGTTTTTGGAACTTTAAGCTTTCTTATTGCCTTCCACAAAGAATAATCGGTACTGGCATCGTCAGTAAGATCTTTTTTAAGTAATTTTGAATATTATTTTGTTTATGGCCATCTGTTAATGCTCTTAATTCGGCTGTTATTTCATTTAATTTAGTTTCATCACTAGGAATTCTATTGGTTTACCATTTCTTTCTTGCTTTCCGTTTTTCTGCAATTTTGTCTCTAATGAATTTAGGATAAATGTAAGATTTAGGGTTTTGGTGTTAAAATAGGTGTTGAGGCCCAGGCTGCGTTTTATATGTCTTTTAAGAGCTTTTCTACTTCCTTGTCAATGTCTTCGTTTGTTTTCATAAGAGCTTTAAGATGAATTTTATTATGTATTGTTTGTTGAAATAGATTCCAATTAGTGAATTTATTAGTTAGTGATAAAAAGGGTACTTTATTATTTAGATTAATAATTACTGGTGAGTGATCTGAGTCCAGCCCTAACTCTTCTTCTATGTTTACGAAGTTAAGCGATATATTTTAATAAAAAAGTCAAGCAGGTTCAGAATTTTACTTCTAGCTGTTGGCCAGTAAGTTGGCTTACCAGTGGCGAGCACCTCTCAATTTAGGGCTTCCTTTGCACGTTTCATTTTTCTTCCTTTTGTATTTGTCAAGCGAAACCCCAAGACGTAAGTTTTGCATTAAAGTCTCCTCCAAGTATAAATTTGTTTTCAAGATGTAGAATTTCCTGATAATCTTCTCTTTTGAGATTATGTCTCGGCGGTATGTACGTTGCTGCTACAGATATTAAACCATTAGCAGTTTGAACTTTTACCACTGTAGTTTGATGTAGTTCAGTAACAATTTTTTATTCGATTTTTAGTTTATACAATACTTGAAGATATTTTTGTGACGAATCAAATTTTCTTAAGTTGATTTATAGTGTTGAAGTGATTCCGGTTGCAACGGTCGAGAATTTCCAATTTTGACGGTAATAGTCGATCAAATCGAGGGAAATTCAGGATGCAGGTCAGTAGAATCGGCGCCTGAAATGGAAATTTTATGCGATTCGTTGCGACCCCCGCGGGGATTCGCCCCGCAATAAACAGATCACGGGTGCATTCATTTGCGTTAAATGAGCCGACTATGAATACAATTACGGATTGGTCCATTTACCCTGGGATAGTCGTCGTTCCTCGCTTTCGTATACAAGTTTGAAGCGAAACTACAACGGCAGGTGGCCACTGAATAAGCAATTTCCACCCAATGTTATCACTATTCTCGCAAGTTTAAATTTAAACTGAATTATTAAATAAGATAATAATGATATTTCTTGAAGGGTATGTTAATAACATTTTTTTTGGGTTACGTGCGTTATGATGATAAACGCAGGTGAGTAGACAGATAGACAACGAGTTGATGAGAGGCGAGTTTCCCTATAGGGTTGTCGAGGGTAAAAGACATAGCGCATGCCCAGGTCACTATTGAATGCCGTTTTGGCCTTCTGCAACCCCACTACGGTAGTAGCTTTCCTTCTGCCGTACGGTTGCAATCATTCGCGTCCGAGCTAGAGAGCTCAACAAACGTCGGATCGGTCGACTATGGAACGGTTTGAACATTACTTATCGGAACGAAAACGTGTCTTTACAAGTTCGCGTTAACTTTGCACGAAAAACCAACAAACAGTTTTCATCAAAATTTTAGTTTTTAATTATCTTACTCAAAACATTAATTTTTATGCAAATCAAAAATTAGTGACTTTATAAAATAAAGTAATATGTGAGTGAATTATTTTTTGGTTGATAGTGTTTTTTGAGTGGTAATTTTGGAAGTTGGGTTTTTCCAAAAAATAAAATAATGGACTCATACGGGCATAGACCGCCTCCTCTACCTCGGAGGGTGAGGAATATTTACGCGGAACCCTTTACTCACGAACCAAGGTAGGATTTATTATTAACGAAAAAATACTTTTTCCCCGGTGATGAAATAAATCGAAAAATGATTAATAAAAGTACCTAATAGAGAAATAAAATGCAATATTCGTTTTTAGCTTTCCATTAAAACAATAAAAAGTTTCAAACAAAAAGCTTTGGCTTAAAATAAAAGCTACGCTTTTTAATTTAATGCGACAAAAAATGTGTAAAAATCCCAATTCGAGAAAAAACTATGTTTACATTTATTATTCGAAACATGATCAATACTTAAACAGGATAAAATCGCGTTTACATAAACAATTTATTAACTTATATGTATATAATTCATTATTATTTTGTACAATGTTTAATATTTATTGTCTCATGTTTTATATCAACAATAATTGAATAAATAATAATTGTATAAGCAATAATTAGATGTTATATTTTATAATTAACAGATATTTTACGTTATTTTAAAAAAATTAATTTCGACAGATGGATATTCTTTTTATTTTAACTTAAAAAAAAAATCTTTTAATATTTATCCCATTAAATTCTTTTCTCAACAGCTCGATTTCTATTCATAAGACGATAACCGAACCGTCGACGGTTGTGAAGAGAGAACGAAAGACATTTAAATTTTTGCAATTTAAATTCTTAAAAGATCGACCCCGAAAAACGGGTCTCTTTTTTTCATTTCTTCCTTTTTCATTCATTTCATCGGTTTATAAATTCCCCGAGCTTAATAGTAAAAATGTTTCCAAGATTTATTATAAATCAGCAAACAGTTGTAAACTTATCAATCAATTATCGGCTTAAATACGCCATTTATTAAATCCGAAAAAAAAGCATTTTTATTTCAAATATACTCCAATTTAGGATCGTTAACTAAATTGAATCATCAAAATCTATTAAAGAGAATCAAGAAAAGAAACTTTTCATTAGAAATAAAGATATAAATCATTCGTTTAAGAGTATTCTGCCTTTAAAGTGGTTTCAAAGTTACTTGTTAAAAATAATGGTTTTGAATGTGTAAAATGTAAACTCTACAAATTAATATATCTTAATTTATCAAGGTTTTAGGATAATTTACTTCAAATTACGATTTTTATTCATTCTCTGAAAAACAGAAACAAAAAGAAAATGAAAATAGCAACACTGAAATTTTGTATCAAACGAAATAATCAAAATGAAAAGGCTTATATCTTTCGAAAACAGAAATTTTTTCCTACACATCAAGATATAAATCGTAGTATTACGATAACTCCGTTCAAAGGTACAATTTTTTTAAGTACTTATAGCAACACGTTGTATTTTCTCCAACATTGACTACACTTAACATTGTTTACCAAAAGAAATAATCACAATATTTTGAAACCGGTTATATCTTTCAAAAATAAAGACATCTTCCTACAAATTAAGATATATATCATGATTTTATGATAACTTGTTTGAAAGATAACGATTTAAATCAACAATAAGTGGTATTTTCTCTAAAAGTGACTACACTCCAAATTTTTTTACCAAACAAAATAATCAAAATATTTTAAAAACGCTTATATCATTCAAAAAAAGAGACTTTTTTCCTGCTTCGTGATTTTTATTTGATGTTCTTTGAAACAATTAGTATTCTCTCAAAAATAGACTACACTTTACAATTTTTTACCAAACAAAGTAAGCAAGTTCTTTTAAACAGACTTATAGCTTTCAAAAATAAAACCATTTTTCTGCAAATTAAGATATAAATCATAGTTTTACGATAACTTGAATCAAAGATATGATTTTTTTTATTTATTTTAAATAGGATTTTCTTAAAAATAGACTATGCTTTAAAATAGTTCACTAAACGAAATAATCAAAATCTTTTAAATAGGCTTATATCATTCGAAAATAGAATCTTTTTCCTACAAATCAAGACATAAATCATGGTTTTACAATAACTTGAATTAAAGATATAAATTTTTTAGTCTGATGTTTTTTGATACAAATAGTATTTTCTTACAAATAGACTATACTTTAAAAAAATGGTACCAAACGTAATAATCAAAATCTTTTAAACAGGTTTATATCATTCGAAAGTAGAAACATTTTTCTACAAATCAAGATATAAACCATGGTTTTACGATAAGTTGAATTAAAGATATGATTTTTTTAACTCAATGCTTTTATTATAACAAAAATGAAATTTTGTCTAAAATTAACCACATTTTAAAATTTTTTATCAAGTGAAATAATCAAAATATTTTAAAAAGGCTTATATCACATGAAAATAGAAACTTTTTCCTACAAATCGGGATATAAACCATGGTATTACAATAATTCGATTCAAAGATATGATTTTTTTTTAATTCAATGTTTTTATGACAATAAATTGAATTTTCTCCAAAATCTCGAAATTTTTTACCAAATAAATTAATCAAAACGGCATATGTCATTTAAATCAAAAACTTTTTTGCACTAAGAGCTTCAGGAGACTTAAAAAACGACTGTTTTCCCAGAGAGTTGGGAACAAGTAGAAATCGACCAAAATTTTTTCTCAAAATGCTAAATTCCTATGAAGATCGATTCACTGACTATGGCCTAGTTAATAGGCATAATACGCAGTAGTACTTCATAATAAATCCTCATTAGTTACATAGTATTAGGAGCCACCACTACCGGAAGATGTGATTTTCAACTGTGTGGCTTCAACATGATGGATGTTAATCTCATTATTCACCAAATACACGGCGAATAGAGATTACAACAATAAATTGTCTTCATATTTGAGAAATGTGGATCATTATTAATAATTTAATTAATAATTAATATTAATAATTAAATTGAGTAAAATAAATGGTTGCTGTGTTCGTCAAATGAAATGCGTTACATCCATTATATACTTTATTTATAAATTTCAACAAGCTCAGAATTGTTTAGTAACTTCTGAGCCGTGTACAAACATTTCTACAATATCTTTCATTGTTTCGAAAAATATAATATTTCATTTGTGTTCTGTTTTGCTTCGGATTCATTTCTTACTTACCACTCTAACTCATTCATTAATATATCAAAATAATAAATGAGATATACGCCACAATTGATCTTTTTATGTAGAATCTGACCTCATAATATTTACTTAAAACATTTCTTAAGTTATCATTGTTAAGAATGGTATTAATTATGTTGAGCCAGTTCTTAACAAAACTGTTCTCTTTTATTAGTTTTAATAACCTTGACCACATTGGCATGCCTGGAATGTAATGTCATGTTCTAGAAAAATCTTTCCAAATTATAAACTCACTAATAATTTTATATAGTCTATTCAAATCAGTTATAACTTCAAATATACAGTAGTATAGAGTACTACTCTACTCTTTTACTTTTATTTTGTCTTACGGGAAATGAAACTTCGATAACTACCGAGGATAAGCACCTACGTATGTGTTGGTACCATTAGTACTGTTTTTAGAACAATCAGTAAAAGAATTATTTCAACCAAAGTCCTTGACTGCGAATTATTAGCTATTTACTAAATAATAAAGTATATTCTTCGTTTTCTTAAAAGTTATCAATTTACGACACTCACAGATCACTAATTTCTCATCAATTTTTCATCATCTAATATAGAAACTTTTATTTCATTAAAAATTAAATATCTTAGACCACCATTTCGGAATCTATGCTCCAGGGATCACTGTCGTACCTCATCCTGTTTCTAACAATTGGAAACCCGACATGCGACCACTCAATATTAATGAATTTTTTATTTTGGGGATGGCGGGATCAAAATATTCGATATTTGCCCCGGCATTTATTCCAACACACATTAGTTTATAAAGAAAATGTTGAGGTTTTAGTGCGACAATTAAAAACCTGGAAAATCTATTGTATTTTAAGTCCATCTTAATTGACAGTAGTTCACGATAGTATTAATTCTAAAATCAAAGAGGCCATAAAGATAAGAACAAAGTAACAAAGAACGTACTGAGCAAATTGGATCGTATCAATAACTAATGCTGAAGATAATTGATATTGAATTAATGAGTCTTTCTAATTTAGTTGGCTCAAAGAATAAACATTGCAAGATAAACAATGTGGAGTGCAATGAAGAGTAATCTATGTATGAATTGACGTTTTCGCATAACATTTTTTATTATAACTCGAATACTGAAAATAACGAAAAAAAAAATGGGGTTGATGAGAATTGTTTGTAATGAAAGTCAAAACGTTATCTGTGAATGATTATAATACAACTATTATTGTCAGTTAGTGAATTTGAAATTCCAGACATTTAAATTTTGACACATTTAACAACAAAATGGATTAATCCCAAAAATAAATAACAGTGGATGAGAATGGTACCAATAAAAATTGTTCATAATAAATCATAAAAATATAATCCACAAACGATTTCGTATTTTAAATTTTTAGTTATAACGTATAAAATCCCTAAATTTCTAAATTGACTTTACTGTATGAATGTTTTTGGAAATATTGGTGATCAAAATTGTTTGCAATGAGTAAACATAACTTTATCCGCAAGCGATTATAACCCAACTATAATTATTACCAACCTAGCGGATTTAATGAAGTCCGATATATATCAAATTTAATATAATGGTTCAAAAATTACTAACGGTGGATGAGAATAATATTAATAACAGTTATTCATAATAAATCACATAAATATAATTCGTAAACTATTTCTTCTCAATATTTTATTAATATTCGGATTATTAGTTATACACATTTTCATTATAACTAAAAGTAAAACCGCGAACAATAAATATTTATTGAACTTTATTTAATGTGCAATTTTATTACTCAAAAGTTAAGAATAGGCCTTGTTAAAGGTGTTAAGGCAATTCCGGTTATTGGATTTAGCTCCAAAATTGATCCGTTTTGATGAATTCAACTGCAAGCGACCTCTGTTTAATATAATTGTAATATATTCTTACTCCTAAGTTAAGCCTAGGCGATACAGTAATTCTATATCGCTGTAATATTGGACATGATATTCGCTTCGGCCACAGAGAATCTGG